ATTCGAATGGGGACCTGCCGATGCTTCTGAGATGCGCTCGAACAATGCATTCAGTTATGCTGGACCATTCTGTGTTCAGCAACTGCTATATCAGCCTCTTTTAGTACGTGAACTCTGCTAAGTTCGTCTGATTTCCCCAGCCAAGTGCATCATTCACTGATAGTGCATGACGCCGGTCAACTTTCAATGAAACAAGTAATACGTCCCAGCAATCGACTTTCACATTAAACTCACGATCACATTATGACGCGTGCAGCACATCACTCATTCTGACAGAACCTAGACAGACATGAAAAACGTCGACGAAAAAAGATGTCTACTGAGTGCGCAAAAATACCTGGTTTCTGAGACTGCGATGGAGCCAGAAGTGATGGCTGAGATGCAGTGGGAGCTCGGGCCCAGAACAATTTCTCCTGCTTTTCGTTCCAGGATGCTTCATTCACTGGCATTACTAAATAAAGACAATTTTTATCAAGTATCTAATCACAACTGATCCTCTCATATTGTATGGAAAGCAAAATGAATTCTAAGTGCTCGACTTTTTATGCTCCAGAGGATGCAAGGAATGTAGCAGCTACCCAGCCATGTAGCCAACATCATTTCAGTGGTAAAAAGTAGGCTCAAGGTGACAAAGATATTTCAGCTCACTGAATTCAACGCTTTCAAAAATCGATAAGATATTCAAATTTTGTTAAGAAAAAATATATACCGCACTCCTGAACTTTCTCAACATATCTAATTATGGATATTCAAATGCAAAAAACGACGAATGTTTTGAGGCACAATACACTCCAAGCTGATGATTTGATAAAGTACCGTTCGCGACGAGGCGGTTAGACGTAACACACACCAAGGAGATCATAACAGTGCTAAGGGCCTGCCAAGCGCTTCCGGAAAAGCCTTTTAAAAAAACGAAACGAGCAACAGGAAAAAGAAATCGCCAAAAGCTGACTAACAGAGAATGCAGCACCGGCCGAAACAAGCAGAAAACCTTACGCGCTGCATAGTTCGAGAATAAGCTCATGAATTAGCAGCAACTTTAAACAACCAGACAAAAGGTTAAAAAAGCTTTATGGCTAAAAAGTTCCTGCCCATTGTTTTGATGTATTTTGCACCAAAATCACAGATAAATTCCGACAAAAGCAGC